GTAGCTAGACGATGAAGTTTTACCGAGCAATTCCAAGATTCGTCAAAATCCGGTCATTTTTGAGATTCAACGCGTTCATGTTTTAAATACCCATTCTTTCCGATAACAAAAAGCATAGTAAAAAATATATTTTATAAAATTTCAGTTTGGGCACCCAATAATTTAGGTATTTAATTATTCACACCCTATAAATACCAACTTCTCCTTTACTAAAGAATATTGCACCATATCACCATAATATAAACACATTGGTGAATTATAAGTATTATACATACAATAAAAATATGTCAGGAACAGAAATGCTCATGAGTATTCAAGAGATGGTTAAAAACCCCATTTCAACCATCCCTACGCGCTATCTAATCGAACAAGAACCCGCGATTCTTTACGAAGATTCTTTACCTTCCATCCCCGTAATCGACATGAAAAGTTTGCTTGCTCGAGAAACTAAAACTTCCCAACTCGACACGTTTCACTCAGCATGCAAAGACTGGGGCATCTTTCAGGTACCTTTTTTCTTTTTTTTTACAGATTATATATAAATAATTATTTATTGGTGCATGCATGATATATATACAGTAGAACCTCGATAAAATAATAACACCGTTTAAATAATAATTTCTTCAGGTCCGATCCCTACTCGGTAAAAACGCCCTAAATTTTCAGTTCGATAATTTGATATTTCGCTAATTAAATTAATAAAATTTTGCTACCTAGTCTGAACTCTATTAATTTATAGAAGTTTAACGTGTATATATATAGGTGGTGAACCACGGTGTAGACTCGTCATTGGTGGAGAAACTCAAGTATGAAATTCAAGAATTCTACAAGCTTCCATTGGAGGACAGAATCAAGTATAAGATCAAACCTGGTGAAGTTGAGGGTTTTGGCCAAAATGCAGTAAATACTTCTCCCGATCAAAAAGTCGATTGGGCGGATCGATTCTACATGATCACGAATCCAATCCAACGAAGAAAACCTCATCTTTTTCCTCAGCTCCCTTCCTCCCTCAGGTTCTCTCTCTCTCTCTCTCTCTCTCTCTCTCTCTCTCTCTCTCTCTCTCTCTAACAGTTAAATACATCTGATGCAGAGAAACCCTAGAAGAATACATAAGTGAGATGCAAAAGCTGTCGAGGGCAATATTTGGGCTAATCGCAGATGCACTGAAGATAGAGAGAAATGAATTGGAAGAAATGTTTGAAGACGGAATGGAATCAATGAGGATGAATTACTACCCACAGTGCCCGGAGCCCGATAAGGTTATCGGGCTGACGGCCCATTCCGACGGCAGCGGAATCACCGTCCTCCTCCAAGTTAACGGCGTTGAAGGCTTCCAAATCAAAAGAAACGGAGTTTGGCTGCCTGTCAAGTTTCTCCCGGATGCCTTTGCTGTTAACTTAGGAGACATTATTGAGGTCTGTCTGCCACAATTATTTTAACACTAATTAATATATTAATTAGAGTCAACGGATTAGAGAGCACTAATTAAGCAATTTACAATCATTAATTTTATTATTAACATGTAAATTTGTGTGAATTCAGATACTAAGCAATGGGTTGTACAAAAGCATTGAGCACAGAGCTACGGTGAATTCAGAGAAAGAGAGGATTAGCCTCGCCATGTTTTTTAACCCTAAATTTGAAGCAATGGTGGGCCCATCTCCGTCACTGTTAACTAACGGGGCGCCGTTATTCAGATGCATGACGATGGAGCAGTACTTCAAAGACTTCTTCTCCCGCAAACTCAATGGGAAATCTTTTCTCCAATATTTGAAAATATAATAATGCATATTTATTTATTTATTATTTAATTATGGAAAAATAGTAATTGTTAGTATTGATTTCTTCCTATATGTATATGTGTGTTGCTTGACCAGTATGACTCAGATTTAATGAAGTATTTTATGGAAGTACATAGAATCTCGATAAATTAATAATTATTAATTTATTATTAGTTCTATAATTTAATATTTCGCTAAATTAGTACTATTTTTACTAGTATCAACTATATTAATTTATAAAAAGTTTACTGTAATATATGACTGGTTTGCCATTTACAATTCTAAGATATGAATATGATTCTTCTTTCCTCGACTAAGGAAATTGAAAAAAATGCAAAAAATGATCGTTGGTGTTAGATAAGACTGGAAATCAAGCGAAACTGCTTGATACTTAATTCAATATAAGATCGTTTAAAAAGTTTGTTTCAGCACGGTACGTCAACATTGAGAACCGGGATTGAACACATATTTTCGTTTGATACGATACAAACCAACACGCCAGCTCGATTAAATCTTGTTCAAACTCAACTCGATTGTTTATCGACCAAACTCTATAAAAACAAAACAAAAATCAAATAAGATTGAAAAATGATGTGTCCGGCCCGATTCAATTTGTTTACAGGCCCTAATAGACTTGTTAGGCCCGAATTAAATAGAGTCCATGTGGCGGCCCATATACTATATGGCCCGAATAATGGCTTAGTGGGCCGAGAAAGAGTAATTTCATTTTCAGAGCAGGAAGTAGGAACCGAACGCGAATTCGGAGCAGCAGAAGATTAGGATCGAAGCTGAAAATGGTTGAGGAAACAGAGAAATCAGCGAGCACCGCCATCAAAGAGGAAGCAGAGAACTTGACATCGATGATGAAGAATCACCTCAACCTGGGGGAAGTGGAGCCGGAGGCGGAGGAAGTGGAGATCGTCGGTGGCGATCCGAATCACGACGCGAAGGCGATGGCGGCGGCGGCGGCGGCGCCGCCACCAAGGCACCCGCTGGAGCATTCATGGACATTCTGGTTCGACAATCCTTCAGCTAAAAATAAACAGGCGGCATGGGGAAGCTCAATTCGACCGATTTTCACCTTCTCCTCCGTCGAAGACTTCTGGAGGTATGTATTATTTTTTTTCTTTTCCATTTCATTTTTTGTGCCTTCATTCAATTCAGTTATGCTGTTTCCTGTTCTGGACGTGAATTAGTGGATGCTTCTATGATATTTTTTTCTCGAATTAGGGTTTGGAGTAATGTTTCATTTTTAGGCTTGTGGCTTTGTAAATTCGTATCTCGTAGGTGGTTGATTCGTGTGTGTTCTGTAGACTGTATTTGTCTTTGAATCTTCTATATTTTCTGCATTTTGTATGCTAGGTCTCGTACATCACTGGGTGTTAGAAAAAATAAGTGAATTTGGTCGATAATATGTATACAGCGTCTGTCTATATATGTATAAGCTTGTGGCTTAGCGTTTTTTTTAATTGTTTCAAATTTGCGTTATCATGATTTGAGGCCAGAAAGATGGCCTTCTTTCTGATTTGGTGTCTGCCTAGATGTATACGCTTGTGGCTTAGAGTTTTTTTTTTTTTTTTCTTTTATTGTTTCAATTTAGCGTTATCATGATTTGAGGCCAGAAAGATGGCCTTCTTTTCAATATCTTATTACTGGACTAGCTATTTCAGAATACATTTATTTCACATGGTTGCATTGTTTTTGGATTGATTTTATTGAGAAGCGTTTCAGTCGTCGTTGAGTGATGATACTTTATGCCTTTGTGAATTAAAGCATCTTACTTTTCCGTGGCTTGGCTTGCAGTGTTTACAATAATGTACACCATCCCAGCAAACTAGCAGTGGGAGCAGATTTTCATTGTTTCAAAAATAAAATAGAGCCAAAATGGGAAGACCCTGTTTGTGCTAATGGAGGAAAGTGGACTGTGAATTTTTCGAGGGGTAAATCTGACACTGCTTGGCTATACACGGTATGTCTCAGTTATGTCGAGTACTAATTATTGGGATTTCAATTTTTCTATCTTTTAAGCCTCTAATTGCATCTCGAATTCCATTTAGTTGCTGGCAATGATTGGAGAGCAGTTTGATTACGGAGATGAAATTTGTGGAGCGGTTGTCAATGTCCGAGCAAGGCAGGAGAAAATTTCTATATGGACCAAGAATGCTGCGAATGAAGTTGCTCAGGTATGGTTGGGAACATAGCTCGGGAATATTTCCATTATATTATATTTTACAATAGTATGGGGTAGACAGTTCTGATAATGGTATGTACTGTCACGAGTGAATAGTAGGTGTACACATGGTCTACTAGGGATTCTATAGATACCTTGGTAGCACCAAAAAAACTCGAAAGATGTTAATATCTTATTTAAAGCTTCAAAATAAGAGGAATAGTGCTCGGTGCTATACTTGAAAAGATGTCACCATAAAAGGCTCTCTCTGACCACGCCTAAATTGCATTGAAGATGTTCCTTTATCTTATGATCATATTGACTTTTAAGAAAAATCTAATAAGATTGTATAAAATATTAATTTTCAGGCTTTATGTTGGATAAAGTTGTTGCAGAGGCTGAAATCCCAAAAATATAGCTCTTTAAATTTATGAACAGAAACTGATTATCCTGGTTATTTTGTAGACACGTGGTAAACTTGCATTGTTTGTACCTATATCCCATGCTTGAAATTCATATTCATGTTTCCTGACCATTTCTCAGGTAAGCATTGGAAAACAATGGAAGGAGTTTTTGGATTACAATGAATCAATTGGCTTCATATTCCATGTAAGTTTCTCTTCAATTGTGTATAAATTGTTGATATATTATTCATTTTTCCATCAAAAGATAAAGTTGGCCATCACTTCTGATTTAGGATGATGCAAAGAAGCTTGACAGGGGCGCCAAGAATCGTTACAGTGTGTAGTTGTTCTGTGGCTGATTCTCACCCCGACAACCCCTTTCTATTTTTGTCTTTAGATAGTCTTTTTTTCTTCTGGATTCTAGTCTGTAACCCCGGACTTCAGAGTACCAATTCAATATTCCGATCACTGATACATTTTGATTATTATTCTGAATTTCCAATGATGATGCGGTCTTGGACATTTTGTGTACATGCACGTTTGTTTGAGCATTTTTTGACATTCAGCATTTTAGATTTAGAACTGAATGCACCACCTAAGGTGCATCGCAACCATTTCCTTTCAAGATATAAACACTACTACTTTTAAAAATGTTGTTTACGTGCATACATCAAAAAAGCCATTCCGAATATAAATATAAGTAGATCTCTATTAACAAATCTAACATAGAACTTTTCCATCACAGAAGCAAAATAGATTCTACTTCAAGACACAGCAAGCAATTGGTCTGGTGATTACTGCTGTTTGGGAACGAGAATTAATGGTAAACAGTTGCAAAAAGCTCTATTCTAAATTAGAACTTGTTTAGTCAAGTTAGGTAATCGCGACTGCCTAGTACAAAAAATAATAGTAGATATTTACAGAGGAGAGCAGTTGGTGCTATTGCAGAATTTCACCTTCTTCACCAATCAAAATTGAATCTTCATCTCCTGCTCTTGCAATCAAAACTGAATCTTCATCTCCTGCTCTTGCAATCAAAACTGAATCTTCGTCTTCTTCGCCAACTCCACTCAAAACCACATCTTCATCACGCAAATAATCATAATCATCCTTTATATAAAGGCCAAGTTGCTCCAAAGGGTTTCCAAAGTGAAATCCAGCTTTGACACCTTCACAACAATCTCCACAAGATAGACCACAAGGGGAACCACAACACAACCTCTCCAGATCTTTCAGTATATACACATTTTCATCTATCTCGACAGTTTTTTCCATCTGCAAGTCAACAGGACAACTCTTCTAAGTATCGATAAAATCCAAAGTCAAAGGTAACCCCCGAGCAAATTGTTAACGGAATTATTTGCCCACTGATAAATGAAGAATATACCTGTTGTAGTGCCTTCCTTGCAGCCGCTCTTTCTCTCTCACGTCGCATCTTTATATCATCGTGCTCCCTCCTTCGTGCAGCCGCTTCAGCAGCTTTGATTTCTGCTTCAATTCTCGCTTTCTCTACAAACCAAAAAACTTGGTTAAATAAAAAGCATAATATGAAAACGTATGAATGGGGGACTACTGAAGTCATCAACATCATGAGTTACTCCTAATTTGAAAAAATGAAATACTCAACTCCATTTTTTTGAAGACACCCAAAAGTTATACCCAAATTTATACCGGGATGAAATTATAAGCAAATGTCTCTATTTAATTAATTTTAAACAAATCCATATGTTACAGATCCAGTTGTCATATTGTCATCAATAAATTCATTGAACTTGCACATACATCCAAAAAAACATACGAGCACAATCAGAAATGTTAAGCTCACCTTCTAGTTGTTCCTTTTCCAATCTCTTTCTTTCTTTCTGCATCCTTAGAGGATCAGACTTCTCAACCTAGAAAATAGCAATCCAACGCAATCAAGGAATGAAAATACGAGTAAGAAAAGTCATAATTATAAAGCATCCTATCATGCATGGCGAGAATTTCTGCAAAATATTACATGATCCAGCTTTGTCTGATGTGTAGCTTTGAAGATAGTTTCTGCAAAGCGGCTTTTTAGCAGGGCTGCCCTCAAAGCCTTCGTGGGCGACATTTGGACGTTTAATGAAGTCCAGCCTGTTAACGAGTTAAACAATTCAAATCAGAAACAACAAGATGCAATATACTATCAATCTCCAGTTCACACCTGCACTAAGGAAAACAAGGAGGAACATACAGATGAAAATATGCATGTTTCTACAAGCTAACATTCCAGCGTTTTGGTAAAGGGTAACTTCCTTTAACACCCCCTCTACAGAAGTCTTAATCGATTAGAAGGGCCTTAGCAATTCGTCGGAAAACAGATATACAGAGTTAAACAATACATGCCCCTACAACATCTGAATAAATAATCAGTTTTCTAATACCATATTCCCCAGGGTCTTTACTGATGGTCCCTTTGTCACAATTGCCTCTTCTTTTAGGCGTTAATTTGATAGAAGAGGTGACGGAAGATTAACAGTTCTATAGAAGGTTATAATATATATATAGTGAATATCATTTACACAATAGGCTACCTTCAACAGAAGTAACCGCTGTTGCAGGGGTTGAAAGTTGAGGAACATTTTCTTCATTCAGAACAACTCCAGGCCCTTGAATCATTTGCAAGCATGTGAATGCTGAAAAGTGAAGGCATTCGAAGCTGAACAAAATATGTATAATAAGGTTGAGATGCTCTCACCATCAGAATCTAGACCCGAGCTACTCGTGCGAACTGCAGAGGGATATTTGACCTTACAATCCTGATTAATCGAACAAAGGCCACGTCAACCAATTTTCATCTATCCATTACCAAAATCTTTCTCCAGTAAACTTAAAAGTATCTATAGTTGCTGATACTTACAAGTTTAGAATCACCACAATGACCTTGTTCTGATGATCGTTCTGAGGATAAATCTGAAACATATAAACTAGTCCTGGGTTGAATGGCCACCAAAAACATTAGCAAAGAGAATTCGTCAAGTATTTAACTTACCGCTTGTAGATGCTTGGGCTGAACCAGTTTTAAGCCTGCAATGGCATGTCATGCTTCCACATGATGAACACTTAGTTTCAGTAGAATCAATTGATTGTCGCTGATTGGCAGATGCACAAGCACTTCGATTACAGAGTTCTAAGCCAATAATAAACATCATCAGTAAGATCCTAAAAAGATCTAGAAAGCAGAAACATTACACTGCCACTCAATACCTTTCTGGACAGGTTTCTTCAGTGAGGGACACACATTTAGTTTCATTTGTGAAGGCTTCACCTGATCGAATGAACAAAGAACTCAGCGCATTAGCATATCATGTGGAACTCAAGACACTACTTACAAAACATGGACACAAACCATCTAGATCATAGAGATCTTTTGAGTAACATAAGAGGCATGTACATGCAAAGATCATACATAAGCTTACTGATTCATTAAATTCATAATCAAATGTCAATTTGCCACAGTGCAGTCTAACTACAGAAGATCACAATTACCTTTCCATCTTTTGCATCCAAAAGAACCGTGATTTCTCTTCTCAGCTTCCGTAAAGTTTCATCATCAATCGAATTAATATAGGAATCGAGCTTTTCTTTGTTAAGACCAACCAAACCAAACTTTTGAAGCACTGTCCTCAAATTAGTTGTCATCTTTCTGCTTAGCACTTGCATAAACTCCAATGTGAACTTCCGTTTTTCCTCAAATGGCATCGGTCCACAGGTACCAAGTTTGATGCGCAAGGGAGCTTTGGCATCGTGTAAATTGTTTCCTACAGTCTTTTTGCTATCTTGGTCATTGTTTTTCGAACGATACTCTTCGACATTCAAGTTCCCATGCTTCAATTTAACCTCAAACGATTTCCATCTCCTAGTAAAAGTAGCATCCAATTTCTTTGCCAATTTATGAACCTCCTCGCCGGGAGCATTATACAACATTGCGTTGGAAAACGTCAAGTTCACATCAGCAGCAAATTCCTCAACAGCAAAGTACATGTTTCCCTCTAATTTATGCTTTATCGTTCCCAAGTCCATCGGTTTGGTAATTATTGAAAAATAATCCGGAATACTCAACTTTACTGGATCAACAGGCTCGTTGAAAATCCATCCTAGAGGGTGCTTCATCAATTCTTTCAATATGTTGCCACACTGAAGTTTCAAATTGCGGTCCATCTTTCGCTTTTTCCCCCTCTGATCATCAAGAGAAATTTCCGGCTTCCGCTTGCTAGAATTCACTGGCATAAATTGCTCGGTAGAAACAAGTGCCTCAGGAAATTTACTTACTCCTCCAGTCACTCTGTTCCTTTGTCCATTGTTTTCAGCAACCTTCACAGTGCTTTCACATGACTTATCTTCTGAAATACTGCGTATCCCTTTCGTAGTTATTTTGAACTTTAGCTTCCTTGGAACTGGCTGATCCTCAGATGACATGGTGGTAAACTGAAAGCCGGAGAAGGTCAAAAAATTGCTTGGTTCTCAGCCATCGTACGAACCAGACTCGATGACAAACTGTATACATAAAACAAAACAATTATTAGTTAAATTCCGGATTAAGCTAATAGACAGTGCAAAATATCAATTGAATTCCCCAATAACTGATTGGAAACTCCGAGGACATTATTATGAAAAAGTTGCATAAAGACTGTTACGGCCGTGTTTTATTTGAAATATTCAGTTTCTAACTAAACTCCGATTCGTGGTTCTTAAGTGGGGGAATAACAGCAACAAATAAAGTAAATAAGAAACAATAGTAAACCATTCTGCCCTGTTTATGGATAGTTAAACACTCTTAATTATTTAAATTATGCGTATAACATATCTACTGAAAGAAGAAGAAACAGTACGAATTACTAGAAGAACATATATGGAAGAAAATAAACTATTCCAAAATCAACCAACAAAAATTCGCAATTAGGAAAATCCATGACCAACTCCTCATAACTACGACTACAGTAACTACTTCAAGAAATACGAAACGCCGCTCAATAATTCAGAATCACGGGAGAAAACAAAACCATAGCTAATCAACAAGGGGACAGAATATAGACCTTCGGGCACAAAAAAAAAATGGAAACTACACGAGAAAAACACCCAGAACCCTAGAAAATGAAAGAAAATAATAAAAACTCGATAAACAGAATAATGTTAGGGTTCGTCGAATTCGAACATACTTACATCGAACGAAACTGCTTGAAGCGAAAGGCGAGATTCCTGCATCGGGAGAATCAACCGAGAAGATAGAAGAACTTCGAAGATGAAATTATTTTGACTCCAGTAGATGGTGGTGGAAATTGAGAGTGAAAAAGGGCTGAGCGAGGTTTTAGGGTTTTAAAACTCTCTCTCTCTCTCTTCTCTCTCTCCTCTCTCTCTCTCTCTCTCTGGTAATTTCCTTTGGACGCGTTGCAGTTGTTTAATTGCCGACTTTTTTTAGCCTTTACGGGATAGTTACTCGCCAAAGTTTTGTGCGGAGAGAGATTTTGTTGCTTTCTACCCAAGCTGCGTAAGGGAAATGACAAATATGCCCCCCCAGCAAATTAATTAATGGGTAAATTACAAACACCCCTGAGAGGTATGGTTAAATTACGAAAACCCCCCTCATGTTAGGATAATTACATCTGCCCCTCAACTATGAATCTTCTAACACAACCACACTTATGATGTCAAGTTCAGCGTGATCATCTAGATTCCGTGGAATGCTTTCTAATTTGTACTCGTTTTGTGCATAAAATACAGTTTCTGATGCACCACAATCTGATATATACAAGCCAAAAAATACATCTTTTGATCATCTTGCTTCAAATCGTGGAGCTCGAATGGGATAAAACAGGTACAAAATTGAGAATATTCCATGTAATCTAAAAGATTTCACTAAATTTGAAACCGCAATGATTTAACGTGTAGGAAATTTATAGTTGAGGGGTGGACATTGTAATTACTCAAACAGGAGGAGGTTTTCGTAATTTGATCATACCTCAAGGGGGTTAGTACCCTTAATTAATTAATTAATTTTAGTACTTGCCCCCAAACAAGTTGTGACGTTTTTTTTATGATAAAATTACGGCCACACTATAAGGTTAAATTACGAAACAATCCCCAACGAATCTTCTTACACTTTCACCTCTTACGGTTTCAAATTCAATATAATCTTCTAAATTTCGTGGAATGATATCTAGTTGTACTCATTTTGTTGTTAAAATAATGCACCACAATCTTTTCAATGCACCACAATCTGATATTTATAATATGTTCAATCTTTTCATGATATGAAAAGAAACAATGGTACCCATTCTAGTCTTATTTCCACACACATTGAAAACAATCACCTCTTTGTAGAAGTATTTGTGAACCAAGAACTCATACAAGTACAACACACACTCGACAATGAGAAAAAAAAAAGAATTTGAAAAAAATAAAAAAATGTAAAACGCCGCTACAAGATCCGCCACCCGGGCCCCGTTATCTGCAAGATACTCTACCAAATGTATGTACTCCAATTGTAGCGTCTAAAAAACCCTGTGCATGTGCATATAACTAGGCGTACGACTCGAGCAAAGGCCTTCTGGAAGCTTCCGCAGAATTTCTGCTGTAGTTGAAGTACAGCACCAACTGAACAATCCCCAGAATTGCTCCAATCCCATTTGGAACCTGATTTAATTTTACGCCGAAATGTAAAATTACGAATCAACCCTTATAGTAACAAGCTATTATTATCATTTGACAGTATGCATAGTACTTAGTGTGGAGTGGCTTACATAGATGAATGGATCTTTCTTCAACATTCCGTATGCAAAGAAAGAAATACTCATCAAGAGTGTTGCGAGTGAGAGATAAAACGGCATGTATTCCACGCTTTTTGTCTTGATCACTAGATTCTGCGTGTAATAATGTTTTTCGAACACAAGTTAGCACTTATCACAAAAGATAAATACTTAGAAAAAAGAAAAGAAAGTATTCGATATGAACTCACGATAATGAAGAGTGGAGAAGCAAACATGGATATGAGAGAGAAAACGGAGAGATATCCAACGAAAAGTTGTCGATTTGGCGGTTCGAAAACCCTTATGCTAACGAAAACAATTACAGCAAAAACGGAGAAAACTGCCAGCACTAATCCCAGCATCTTCAACTGCAAGAGATCGATTTCAAGTTCAGCGATTGGGTGGATTAGTATTAGTATTAATGTGTTTAATTAAATCTAAAAATGTACGATATTTTTACCCTTTTGTCTTTATCTGCGTATATAACGAATATGATAATGTACACCAACTGGAAAACGGCTCCGACTGAGTTGACCGTGGCGACGAAGATTATGCCCGAACATACAATGGGCAAACCGTACCAAAGGCATATTAAGCAGTTCAAGAGGCCGTATATATAAGGAGAACCCGAAAACTGCTCCGTTGATTTGTTTCTGACAATTCGTCTAAATGTAGGTCTGTAAGAGAAATAGACGAAGAGCATTACTGACAGTAAATACGAAACACAACACTATTGGATTTTTTAATTTATTAGGTACTTACATGGGTGAAACAAACAACACAAAGGCAAAGAGATTTCCTGCAAGAAAAAAAGACAGGTAAATTTTTCGGTTATTGTTAGCAGTTAAAACAGTTATTTAGGTCACTAGATTGATTGTCTTGATTTTACACTGAGGCTGAGTTTATATATACAAATTAAGAATCATATGGGCATTCCTTCTCCCTTTCAGCATTGTTTCCCACATCATCTTTTAACCAATCAAGTAACAGAGCTACAAATTAAAGAAGCACAGAATTCTTGGCCGATCATTCTCAATTTGACCAACGATTGACTAACATGATGAACTGGAAGAGAGATTTTCTTGATTTTCTCACAGGAATATAATCAAACAGTTGGCGTACCAAGTCAACCTTTCAAGTGAAAAACAAGAACAGAGGAAAAATAAATGCAGATCCACCATTGTCGAAGCAGATATGTAGAAGCAAAGCAAAGAACCCATTGATTGGTTCAAGCAGCAAATCAAACAAGAAAACCCCAATTTTAAAAAATAATAATAATAAATAAATAAAAAAAACAGGAGAATAAGATTTGAAGAAAATGACCTGCAAATCCAGCTGCATCACTGCACAATGAATAAGTTGAAAACAAGCCACCTTCAGACATGGTTTTGGAACGTCAAATCTTGATTCCTCTCTGCTGAGTAAATAATCTCTTCTTTGTTTCTCTTTATCTCAAACTCTCTCTGAATTAAGATAAAAAAAATTATCTTAATTGCACCACAAATTAGCCCGAGTGCCTTTAAATGATTAATTGTTATACCTTCGTTTTGCTGCTTTTTAATTGTGTCTAAAATAAATAATTAAGGGGTCTACTTGGATAAATATAACACACAGACACAGTTGATATATTCAACAATCAATATGGCCACGAGTCAATGGCAGAGTCGTAATTTGCAAGGCCAACTACTTTTTTATTTTAATAAATTAATTTGTACACAGAAAACGTGGATTTTTTTATTTGTAAATAAAAGGCTGAAAATTGAGGGGTTGGATTGCAAATGGTAGCTAATTAGCTATTGCATTGAAAACACCTGTCATTTTTTGTTTTTTTATTTAGATACGGTATGACTATAAATGCGACAACATGATAAATGTCGGATCCAATATTTTGTAGGTTAAATTAGAGTTACCCTCGAGGTAATGTTACATTATTAAAAAAACTCCTTCGATTTTGATAATTATAACTATATCTTTCAATTATGACTTTACATCAAAAACCTTTTGAGTCAACATAATTTTCTAAATTTTGTGGAATGTTCTCTATTTTTGTACACGATTTGGACAAAAATGCAGTTTTTTATGCACCACAATCTGATAGTTACAAGCTAAGTGACATATCTTATAATTATCTTGTTTCATGTGGAGCTCGAATGAGGTATAGCGATTAGAAACTTGAGAATATTACGTATAATGTAGAAGATTTCACTAAATTTGACACAAGGATGAATGGTTAGAAAAAATCATAGTTATGATGGTAACTGTATTCTCCAAACATAAAAGGTTTTTTCGTAATTTGACATTACCTGTGGGTACATAATTTAGTCAATTTTTATTTGATGATGCTGGAACCTGGTCCACACAAGTGGTGGTTGTGACTTGTGAGTATGACACAGCAAAACTTTGGTAATAAAATAATAACGGTCAACTAATTAGCAATATATGTATTGGTGCCAGCTAGATATGTGGGTACAAACAGCAAGGCGACACGCTGGCTTACCGGATAAATATTTTCTAATCAACGGACTGGATTATTTGGTCCAACGGGAATCAATTAAATATTCGATGTTCCAATGTGCAGATTAGCATTTAGCAATTAGCACAACTCTCTTATTTTATGATTAACCATGTTACCCGTGGCCTGTTTGTTAATTAGTGTGTGAACATAAAATACTAATCTTAATTATTCTCTTATACATTTAATTGCTCAGTTTCCTTGGTCACGTTTTCATCATGAACTCATTGACGGATTAATCAATTACGACAAATTGGATCGGATTTTGCTGTTTTTTCTTTTGCAGTACCTCGACGTGAAATGAGCGTGAAAGGGGTTTAAAAATCAGAGGCGCAAGCTCTCGAACACGTCAAACATGACTGAAAACTCACAAACTTAGACTAACTCTTCCCTTGAATCCCAAACTCGCCAAATATCCTGTTTCCCACATTCATAACTCACTTGCAAAAAAAATTGAGAAATGGAATAACGAACAAAATTCGAATTTGTATGTGTTCTCTCTCTCTCTCTCTCTCTCTCTCTCTCTCTCTCTCTCTCTCTCTCTCTCTCTCTTAGCAGTTGAGAGGTGAGGCAAATAGGTTTAAATACCACAGATAAACGATCAAGACCAAAATATCAAGGTGAGCGGTACATATCAAAGTTCGAGAGAGTTCCATCGGACAACCGGGCTTTATGGTGGGCCATTTGTTTAAGTTGGGCCGGCTTAGGTAGAAAAGGGCTAACGGGCCAAATTCTTGATAAATTCATTTTGGGCCCAAAATCCAACATTGGCCCAAACCTGTAATGTGAAATTTAATTAATATATATATATATTTTATATATAAAAGCGCAAAAAAAGAAAAAGTAATTTTTACACACAAAATATTATTAATAGGGGCCTCAAATCTCAATTTCGCCTAAGCCCCTTAATTATTAGTATGAGAATTAGTATTAATATTAGTATTAGTATCGGTATTAGTATTAGTATTAGTGTCAGTGTTAGTATTAGTACCAATATTAGTATTAATATCACTATTAGTATTAGTATTAGTATTAGTATTAGTATTAGTATTAGTATTAGTATTAGTATTAGTATTAGTATTAGTATTAGTATTAGTATTAGTATTAGTATTAGTATTAGTATTAGTATTAGTATTAGTATTAGTATTAGTATTAGTATTAGTATTAGTATTAGTATTAGTATCACTATTAGTATTAACATCACTATTAGTATTAGCATTAGTATTAGTATTAGTATTAGTATTAGTATTAGAATTAGTATTAGTATTAGTATTAGTATTAGTATTAGTATTAGTATTAGTATTAGTATTAGTATTAGTATTAGTATTAGTATTAGTATTAGTATTAGCATTAGTATTAGTATTAGTATTAGTATTAGCATTAGTATTAGTATTAGTATTACTGTATTAGTATTAGTATTAGTATTAGTATTAGTATTAGTATTAGTATTAGTATTAGTATTAGTATTAGTATTAGTAGTAAAATTAGTATTAGTAGTAGTATTAGTATTAGTACCAATATTAGTATTAGTACCAATATTAGTATTAGTATCATTATTAGTATTAACATTACTATTAATATTAGCATTAGTATTAGTATTAGTATTAGTAACAATATCACTATAATTATCTGTGTGCGTATATATCAATATTATTATTAGTATTGGTATCAATATTAGTCTTATTCTTAGTATTAGCATTATTATCAATATGAATATTAGTATTAGTATTAATTTTATTATTAATATTAATATTAGTATTGGTACGAGTATGAATATTAGTATTATTATCAGTATTAGTACTAATATTTATATAAGTATCAGTATTAGTATCAGTATTAGGGCTCGTTCAGTTACCGCTATAAGGTTTTACTGACTAAATAGTAGGGCTAATAGCATGTCCGGTTGGTAAGATTCACTTTTTTTCAAACCCGCTACTAAAATCAAAGCCCGCTATTAAATGCTACTATTTCTTTAAATTAGTAGCACCCCTCCCCCTGAGATTAATTTAATAGGGGATGACTAAAAAGGAAAAAAACAATTTTATCCTTAAAATCGTATTTTATTATTGTAAACTAAGTGGTTTTATAGACAATTCATATAAAATAACCGATTTTAACAAATTTAATAGAAAATCTAATCTAAGAAACCGAACATGCTACTAACAAAATAATTAATTAGTCAGTCGGGAGTTAATCCAATCTTATGTAATATAATCTAATCCAATATAGGTAACCGAACGAGCCCTTAATATTAGCATTATTACTAATATTAATATTAGTATTAGTATTAGTATGATTACCAATATTAGTACCAATATTAATATTAATATCACTATTAATATTAACAGTAGTATTAGTATTAGTATTAGTATTAATCGAATTAGTATCACTATTAGTAATAATATTGGTATTAGTATCGGTATCGGTATTGGTATCAACATTGGTATCAGTAATGGTAGTGGCGTATACATCATATCTCTTTTGCAATATTTATAAGTTTTATTGTTGTTTGAGTAATGTGCATCACTAATTGAATGCATTAGTGATAAACTTGCAGGTTATTTGAATATCTATTGTGTTACTTCTCTGCTACCATGTTTGTTGTTACTTTAGTTATTTTGCATAAAATTCACATGATGTAGCAGATTGCAATTCAAGAAATAGAGTTATACCATATGTTTTAAATGATTTCACTCAATTGCGCGCTTTCATGTTTTCTTATTTGTAATATTTTACTTAATTTTATATGTTACAACTCTAAATTAAAAGATAAAGTTTATGTTTTTTATTTCCTTCCATTTTATTTTACTTGAATTGACATTGTTATAAAGAGATAGTCGTTTACGTAAGTTTATTTTTCTCATTTTTAAACTCACCTCCGTGCAACGCACCGGTGAAATACTAGTATTATTAATAGGGGCCTCAAATCTCAATTTCGCCTAAGCCCCTTAAGTATTCGGCCCGGTCTTTTGTGGCCTTGGTTAAATGGTTTGATTTATTCCCATATTACCCCCGAAAATAAATAAGAATTAAGAAAATACCACCACCACTCCCTCTCAATAATTCAACATCTTCCCGCCTTACTCTCCATCTCCCTCTCTCACTCATGAGGATCTTAAATCCCCATTCACTACTTCAAGATTAGGGTTTCTGTCAGCTGAAGACGAACTTCTCGATTTCACAGTAATCCGCCACTGTCAATAACACAATTTATTCATTTTTTTTCTTGAATTATCGCTCAAGATCTGAAAATGGGGATACAAGGGCTGCTGCCCCTTTTGAAATCAATAATGAATCCGATTCACATTAAGGAATTGGAGGGATGCTTCGTCGCCATCGACACGTATTCTTGGCTGCACAAGGGCGCCCTTTCTTGTAGCACTGATCTCTGCAAAGGCAAACCCACATCCAAGTATGTGCCGCCGCTTGTATCAATTGTATTTTTGCTTATTTCTATTTATGAATGTCATTTATTTCACTTTCGAGAAAATGGGTTGCAAAGTTTCACTGAATTCCTGATTTATTGAGGTGGGAAGTTTGGGGGTTTTAGTTTCTGTTTTGAAGATCGAAAGTTTGGATCTGGATTTAGGTCAATTGCTGCCCAATTAATGTAAATGGGAACTGTATGTACACATCTCCTCGAATGCGGGAAAGTGTATCGCAGTTTTCAAGATGAAATTGTCATATGTAAATGGCAACCCGTTTTAAACCGAGAGGAAATCGAATTGTTCTTATTTCGTTTTGATGTAGCTAGTCGGAACAGAAAATAACTTAAAATGGCTTATTTTTGTTTCAGGCATATTGACTACTGTATGCATAGAGTAAATATGCTGCGCCATTACGGTGTTAAACCAATTCTTGTATTTGATGGAGGTCATCTACCAATGAAGAACGATCAAGAGATCAAGCGAGCAAGGTATTAAATTCTCCGACAAATATATCCCAGGATAGATTTTTCTGAGTTTTTTGAGAAATTACTCCCTTTATTTATCAAAAAGTCTCTAACTCTTTGGAGTTGGTATTAGAACACCCTAATTTTTCGTGTATGCGAGTTTTTTAGCTGGTTGAGAACTGGTTTTAAAGATAACTAAGTCAGTCTTTTGATGACACAAATCCTATTTGAAGGTCAAGGAAGGAAAATCTTTCTCGTGCTGTGGAGCACGAGTCAAATGGAAATCTAACTGCTGCTTACGAGTGCTACCAGAAGGCTGTCGATATATCACCTTCAGTTGCCTATGACCTTATCCAGGTAAAAAAATCTGTTTATATTGTATAATTCTTTGTGGATTTTCACATAGATATAGTGGATCTTTTTCCTTCTCGACAAACTATGAAGTATTTGGTGTCTGTTTTTTTAAACAGGTCTTGAAACGGGAAAACATATTGTATGTTGTCGCTCCCTATGAAGCAGATGCACAAATGACATTTCTGGCACTCGGCAAACACGTTGATGCAGTTATAACAGAAGACTCGGACCTCATTGCGTTTGGTTGTCCCAGAGTGAGTCTTAGTATCTTATCGTATGTTTTTTCGGTTGCCAGGTCTTTTTTGTCGTATTGAATGAATCTCTATTTCTACGAGACACAGATTATCTACAAAATGGATAAATTTGGGCAAGGTGTTGAATTCAAGAACGCCATGCTTCAACACAACAAAGAGCTGAATTTAGCAGGATTCACCCAAACGATGTTGCTCGAGATGTGCATTTTAAGTGGATGCGACTATTTGGCGTCTCTGCCTGGAATGGGCCTGAAGAAAGCTCATGCTCTGATTAAGAAGTTTAAAAGTCACGAAAATGTAATTATTACTTTGCTAAACACGTTTAGTGATTTTTATCATTTGATTTTGTCCGCTGAATTTTGACCGATGGGTTTCTGTACTTTTGGTGCAGGTAATAAAGCACTTAAGGTACAACAGTGTGGAGGTACCTCCTCTTTACGAAGAATCTTTCAGGAGGGCAATTTTGACTTTTAGGCATCAACGAGTTTACGATCCAATTAGTGAGGATATTGTACATTTATCTGAGCCGGTGGATTTTGTCGGTGAAGATGTAGATTTCTTAGGTCCAGCATTGCCTCAGCATGTAGCTAAAGGTATAGCGCAAGGGGATCTTGATCCGTTTACTAAAATACCGATCCAGGTATATTCTCTATTTTATTTATTGATACTTTTATATTATCTACGTATGGATCTCTTTTCGATAATGTTTTTCGTTTGACAAGTAGACGGAATCTGGTGCTACTGAAAAAGTGGTTCAAGGAACTTACCAGCTCAAGAATTTCAAGCCCGACGGTGATAAGAAAAAGCTCGATTTGCCTGCTCAGAAAAATCTCCTAACTAACTACTTCTGTATCCAATTATATCAGTTTGCTTGCTATATAGATTTATTCGTTCCTTCGTGTTTATATCATTGCTTGTTATGTGTTCCTAACTTCCAAATTCCGGTAGATTATGAAAACATTGTCGTCTTTTTTTCCTTAACTCGTTAAGGTTTTGCTTCACTCGAGGCAAAGAGGAAATTCCGGGCTCCTAGAATTTCACCTAAGCAACCAAACGAGAGCAACGAAACTTCCAGCCATTCTCCAGATGTACGATAAACAACTCGTTTTTTACGCATGTTCTAATTCATTCTGTTAATACTTATTTTTGATGATTTTGTTTGAGATTAGGTGAAAGATGATTTGAAGTTTATCGAGGCACGAGATCGTGGTAAGGATGTTTTATGATAATGCTACATATGCATAGCTATTTTTAATGATTCAATACTTGCTAATTCGTACATATACTTGTAGAACCATGGGATAAGAGAGAAGTTGCAGCTTTTACCGTAGTGCAAAATTCAGTATGTAAGCCTTGTATCTCATTGCACAAGGATCTGAACTCGGATCGGAAAAATGGGAAGGCAACAACATACGTGAAGCAAAATGGGGTAGTAAGGAGTTCGTATTTTCTGAAAAAGTCCGGGGGCGAAAACGGAAAGGAAAATGAGCCGCTCTCTCCTTTGCTCGAGGAGGAAGCATGCAGAAAGGAGGAGAAAACAGTTCGTGTCGATAACTTGAGGATGAAGCAAAACTTTAATTTCGAGAGAGAGAATGAAGAAATATGCGTAAGTGGGAACAACGAGAATACTTTACAGTATAAAACGAAGAAAAGAAAGATAGATCAAACTGACAGTCCAATACAAGAAGATGCAAATGGTGATAACTGGACATCATCAGGTACAACTATTTTACGAAACGAGCATTGAGTTAATTGTGAAAGATTATTACGAAATTACGTTTGATTAATTATGTCTTGGTTTCTTGCAGGCGGTCGCAGTTCCGAAGCAGAAGAAGGAAAGTTGGGGTGCGATATCAGCCATTTGAGTCGTTATTCAGACATAGCAGAGAAATCTATGGAGAAGTTTGTGTCGGTTATTTCGTCGTTCAGATATAATCCGTCCGGCACTCGTGCTAGTGGTCTTCGACCCCCTCTTAAAGATATCAACAACAATAGCTTGAGAAGGTAATATATAATAATAATGCACACCTTTTCTTTTTCTTCTTGTAATTGCGAATTTTTTTAATCTCGTAAAATCCTATTTAATGCGGCACAATGCTTCGACCTTTTACTCGTTGTTGGAAATAAAGTGCGTATTTTGAGTACGAGAGGGTTGAAATTGGACGAATCGGATCGAAATTAGCAGTTTTGAAGAAATCCTACTTTTTTTTGGAAACGTTAATAAATAAATAAAAAATTGAAATCGGAAATTTATGGATATAAATATGTGCAATTGGAAAATTTAATTTATTTATCCAGTTGTAATTTGTTATGTGTATTATAGATAAAATGAGATTCCTACTTGTATACTTAATTAATGGACATGCATAATAATTCAGACAAGAAGCGTAGTTTGGATAAAGACAGAAATTGTCATGTGTATTTGGCTAATTGTGTAGTAATGATGACACTAATGAAAGTAATTAAGTCGTGTTATACATTGCTTTCTCCAATTGTATTCAATAGCGCAAACGACGCGCAATTTCTGACATTCTCGTAGTTATACATCGCTTTCTAATATCTTGTGGTATTGGATTAAAACCTTAATTAATTAAGGTTTGACATAATTTAATTTAATTTTCTTTTCTTTTGACGCATTAGGCGTGATTAAGTCATAATTAAAGCTATAAAACAAAAATACTATGCAAGGAATAAATAATTGAATTCAGTTGAATTTAGTGGCTTTGATGTGATACACGTACGTACTATGCGAAGTGGGCCCTACTTCTGTTTCAAGCAAAATTAGCTTATCATTTCGCACGTGGCATCCATAATTCCCATGTGCCTAGCACAAGGATTGTCCCTGTGTGGCATATATATATATATATATATATATATATATATATATATATATATATAATCAGTAATTTCCAACAATTAAAATTATTAATTTTCTTGATTAAGATGATTTATTTTGAAATTATATATATATAGTAAATTAATGTAGTTAAATTATATGTCAAGTAAAAGTATGATTCTTTTGGAAGTTCAAGCATCTGATGACCGACACCTGTACAATATTATGGGACGAATCAAATCTCATTACTCTGGATAACTTTTAGAGATCCAACCAATAAAAATAATAATTCATTGGTATATTATTAATTAATAAGTTTAGTGTCGTGTCAACTTGGTTATAATAATGTACCCGTACAATATTCCAAACTACTAGTTGATTATTAAAAAAGTTTAAAAAAAAATAGAAGATTAATTGAACCGTACCTGTAATATTACTCTACAACCATGTAGCACGGAGACGGAAAAGGAAAATGTGAAAACGGGAAAACATATACATCGAAACGGCATGTCAAGTGGGTATACTAAAATTAAATAGGGAAACGTATAAATATTATAAGTATAGGGGCATATTTATAAATATAAAACATATTTAAATATTTTTATATTTCCATACGAATATATTCAAAATAAATATTATTATCAATTAACAATTTGCAGTTGATCATTAAATAATATGATTAGTTAAGAAAGCAACAAAAGTATTTGAAAATTACAAAATGACCCATAAATTATCCGATAAGTGTCGGACACAAAACGTTTCCGAAACGCGTCGGCATGTATCCAAAATGAAATGTGTGTGTTGGAATCTGTCCAAATCAGACAATTATTTTGAGGAAACAGAAAACTCTGTCAACTAAGTACAACATAAACCTATTCTAATTACACCCTGGAATCTGGATCTTTCCAATATTCTTCATAAATTATACATTATTTCCCACACATAAAATTAAACAATATGTTTTTTTTTTCTTCTTATAATTCAATTTCCATTAATTCTCTTTGAGGGAAATCAAAATTAATTAATTAATGATTTTCCCATTTACATAAGTGATCAAGTTTCAAGAAAACCAGTCATCCTGAGAACAGAATTTCGGACTCGACTCAAATCCCTTCCTTTGAGAGTCCTCCCATTTCCGGTACAAACGGAAAACGCCATCATCTTTCCGGCCACGCGCCGCCGCCCTACGATGATGTGTGGCGGCACCATTTCTCCCTCTTCGTCGTCTCCGGCGAAATCCGATCGGTCAATATACCGGAGCCACGACACATTCTCCGGGATACTCACAGGAGCCGCGGCGGCCAAATTCTTGCTAGTACTATTTGGCTTCATGATCTTTTTCCTCTTACTATTGCCGGAACTTGGCTGATGAAAATTACTGCACGCGTCGTCGCTATCTTCGTGTTCGACATTTTCTTGAAATATAACTTCGGATTCCTCAAATTCTTCTGCCATAAAAAAAGTATATAAATATATACTAAATTAAATCAAACACAGTGTATATATATATAGATATGGAGCTGTATATATATAGGAGAAATGATGAATGAATGATTGAAATGTGAAATGGTAGTGATTTAATTTGATTGGGAAGAAGTTTGTGTGTGGTCCCCACTTTGTTACGTACACCACTTACCCTAAAACAAAATTTAATTTGACAGTACTATATAATATAAGTCACAGTTTAATAATTTTGTCGTTGTGTTTATTTAATTTTTTGTGAAATTAATATTGACTATTCACTCTTTATTTTTGTCTACTTTCCAGAAGAAAAATGAAACACGACAAAGATTACTTGTTTGTTAACATTTACATAGAGCATGGGCAAGCTAGGTAAGATATTTTTTTTTTCAAATTTATAATGTTTATAATAGTTTGACTGATTTAATTTAATAATGTACACAATTATATTCACAAGAATATACTATTACAATATACAATCATATAATTAACTAATCCACTTACAAATTAAATGGGTACTGCACTTATGAAGTTTTAATTATTCTTTACCAACCAAAATAATCAATATGTTTAATATTATTTTAATATATCTATACAGTTTCGTATATTTGACCAAAGTTAATCAATTTACGTTTATATTTATGAATACGTGTGGGACTGATCAACTAGTTGAAAACGAATATACCACATTGTTCTTATTGGTGCACATTTGTGTGCGTGTGGACCTATTGTTTGATATGTAAATCATGTTTCTTTATAGCATTGTTATTACATAATTAGGTAATTAGCGTATTATATTAATTAAAATAATAAATACTAATTAATTAGCTCCAGAAAATGCTGTCTCCTTTCAGAAGAATATAAGAGTCCCGTGCATGCATACAGCACACGTGTGGGTCTGGCATTAGCAGTAAGATTAAGAAAGCTAATTAAATATTTGTGAGTTGATTGAAGCTTAATTAAAGCTGTAATTAATAGGGCTGATGATGTGGATTAAGAGCCGTGGTTTAGAAGCGAACGGCGCCGTATTAGGCGATCCCGTTTATAAAGAGGTCCCTTGTTTTTTCTAGGTCCACCTAATTATTGTTAAAGTAAACGTGGCGTCCCAGTATGCTGACACGTGTATTGACGGCCGATTTATTCGATTATATATTAACGAGTGAATTAAAAAATAATAATAAAATGAAATTGGAACAAGTGAAAATTGAGTTGACGTAACATATTTACTTTAGGAAGAAAAAGACAGCCCCATAAAACGTCATTTCATGCTGTTGGAATTTAGCCATATCTGTATGGAATATGGATAGTCGTAATTAATTTCTCTAATCTTACTTTTTTGATTACGACTTTAGCCTTATCGAAAACGTGTTACTCATTGTTACTCCATCCGCCTTTTTTTTTTAATAATTATTTTTTTATATATAATTATAATGACAAATTAATAAAGTAAGAAAATAAAATTATAAATGAATAATTTTGTCAAAAATGAACTATAGGCAAATTGGTTAACAAGATTAGGCACGTTGAAGCCTGTGGTGGCCAATGTAATGCTTAATCACACTATTTCAAATTATGTATCACAACTGAACTATAACCGAGCCCGTTATTGAGAAATTGGAACCTGGGTGTGTTTTAAGAATTTGTAAAAATGATATCCCAATATACATATTAATTCGTTTTAACGAGCACAATTATTTATTAGGAGTTGAAAATTTTGAAGATAATATGACTCAAATATTGACCAAGTTAGCAATGTCAATAAAAAAATTTACAGGTTTTAGAATAGGGTCACGATTTTTTTTAAAAGTACTCATAGAAATATTATTGAACCACTAATATGTAACATTTGTTCAAATAACATAGTATCTTTACACACGAAACCTATATTCAGAACCGGCCTTACTTATGATAATTGAATTGATAAATTAAATAACATTACCAATGAGAAAAAGTTTTACTTATTTAAGAATCAATTATCAAGTCCAACTTTTAAGTTCAATGGAGAATCAAGTAATATCGAGGCATTATCTTATATTAAGTTTGTGCCGAAGATGCACGCAAGTACTTCTCATATATATTACAAAGTATAGGCTTTATTACAACATTTGTCAAAGTCCCAATCGGATAAGGTATGACTTTAGAAGTATGTATGTGGTTAGTATATGAAAATTTTAATTCTTGATTTCTTATATCATGTTGTTGACAAATTAATAATTGGTATTCAATAAATTTTATTATTGAATTCTTCATAAGGCAATACGGGTCTATAAGTCTAATTTAAATAAATGAAGCCCTAAATAAAGAATTCTTCACAATCTATTTTCTTTCTTGATTCATTAGTTAAAAATGATTAAATTAAACGAAATGAAATCCAAAACTCATTCTCCCAAATAAGTAAAATAAATAAATAATTGAATTTTGATGACTTCAACTGAATTTTGGGGCTTTTATGATGTACACGTACTTTGATATTTTCAATGGCCCTACTTTTGATTTCAAGTAAACTACCCTATCATCATGCACGTGGCATTTTGATGTACTATGTCTATGCGATCGAGATGAATAATGTTTACGAGATATTAAATTTGGTGAAAAACATCGGACGATCTAATTTGTACTGAAATTTTATATAAATAACCATTTACTAAGCCGGACATATATATAATATATATTATTATGTGTAGATTAACGGTTCAGTATCACTCGGTGTATGTAGTATCTGCAAAATCAGTGAATAGATGCTTCAAGTGTATTAAGAAAATGTAGAAATAATTAATTTGATTAATAATTATCATAAAATATTATTTTGTAATAATACGAATCAATCAATTTTGACCGGTGGATAATATTAGTCAACGAAATAAAATGCGTACAATGTTTGCTTGCAAAGGTGAAAGGCCTATTAATACTAGCTAGATGCTACGGTATACATAGAAGATTAGACTTTTAGAACAAAACGACAAAACAAAGCCGTTAAATTTCGTTGCAGTATTTAATTACAAAATATAAGATTTCGGAATCTATTCCCCAAACAAGAACGAGGAATATTATACCGTCTTAAAATATGTACTAATGTCTACGTCAATTAATCTGACACGTGTTATTTATCGCATAAAAGACAAAACCACATTTACATTAAGGCCTCAAATATTCTTTAATTTAATCCTACATGTAATTAAATTATAATATTATATGAATAAATTAAAACATATCCAAAATGAATTTAATTGTGTGTGTGTTGGCCTGTGTCCAAATCAGACAAACTCTGTCAATGATTTATTGGCGTAATGCACCACCCAACAAAGCATAACAGAAACCTACTCTGTAACACCCTGGAATCTTGATTTTTTCTATCTAATAACACACAAACCCCAATTATTGTACATTTTCCACAAATACTAATTAAATATAAATAAAACTTTTTTTATTTTATTTTTATATATAAATAAACTATTTTAATTAATTAATGATTTTCCGATTTGTTTTACAATCAATGAGCATATACATAATTCTGGGGAAACTCATTGTAACTCAAGTTTCAAGAAAACCGGTCATCCTAAGAACCGAGTTCCTAACTCGACTCAAATCCCTTCCTTTAAGAGTCCTTCCGTTTCCGGTACAAACCGAGAACGCCATCATCTTTCCGGCCACGCGCCGCCCTACTATGATATGCGGCGGCACCATTTCTCCGTCGTCGTCGTCACCACCAGCGAAATCCGATTGATCAATATACCGTAGCCACGAGTTCCGGGACACATTTTCCGGGATACTCACTGGAGCCGCGGCGGCGGCCGAGTTATTCTTGTTATTATTTGGCTTCAGCTTTTTCTTCTCCGCCGCCGCCTTATAATTCCTGGACGGCTCATCGACATCGTCGCCGCCGTGGTGAAATATAACTTCAGATTCTTGAAATTCTTCTGCCATTAAAGAATAAAATAAAAATGAAAAATTCTTTTTTTGCTGTTTCTTGTGATCGATGAGAAGTGTGTGGGATTGAAAATGGTGGGTATTTGGAAAGATTTATAGGAAGAATGAATGATTGGATGTGTAATACAATTTGATTGGTGGCGTCACTCTGACGGTGGGTCCCACTTTAATTAATTTAATTTGATCTCCCTAATATGATTTCTTAAAATACTAATCTTTGTGTGTTACTTGTGGCATACGGCTTATTTGCTGTCTATGTATCTTTCATGTTTTGAGGTATTGTAAATCACTAAATCTACTTTTGGTTTTTTGAATTATTATCGACTCTTGATTTTCGTACGTATTATTCATTGTTTTTTTCGTAAAAGAAATACGCGGGCAATGGATAATACGTGCGTATTCTTTTCCGGCCCACATATTTAATACCTATTATTTAAATACGTGAGCCCGAGAAAGAAATAATATTTTTTGGAGAAGAAAAAGGGAACACGAGAAAGTTCACTTGTTTGAGTAAATTACCGGTGAGAAAAATAAACTTTAGTGTCATTTATTATGTCGACATTTAAATAAAGGTATGTGGTAATGAAGTTCTTTGTTCAATGGTGATGTTTTCAAAATCTTTTTAATTATAGTTTTGGACTAAATTGTAATTTTCCCAAATTAATGTTGGAAATAAATAAATGGAGTCCTTTAATTCCATTCAGTCCAATATTTCCAATTGGGCCCAATTCCTCTTTAATTGTCGGCCCAATTTCTTCAGTCCCTTCTTCGACCCATTCTTTTCAATTTAAATCAATTTCCAGCGCTTGTCCCTCGTTGTAACGCCTTTGTCGCCCTTTTTTTTTTATTGGGAGATTTTATGATTTTTTTTCCTCTGTTAATTTTGTAATTTTTTTTTTTTTTATTTATATAAGGGGCATGTATGATACGAAATAACAAAGGGGTACAATCGCACTTAACTCGATTAACATTGTAATTATTTATGTATGTAAAAGAGAAATACTAATTACGTATTTACATTAACAGTTCACTTATTGAAAAAAATATAAAAAAATAAAAATTAAACAGAAGAAATATAAACCCTGAAATTGACAGTATACAAGTATGAACTGTAGCGCACTGGAGACACGTTACACCGTAGACATTGGCTTGATACCGAATGAATCCCATCAGACCAAACATACCAACCAAATGCATTACCACATGGCCTAACCGTAGCCTGAACCGTAATATTGAACGTCTGCTTTTCCCCTGTTGCATTGAAAAACAACGTCGGCGGCGAGATTCCGACCGTGTAACCCTGCGGGTTAACAATTTGCACCGTGTACGTGGCGTTTCCCGCACCGACGTTCGTTACGGTTCTCTCCACCGTCAGAACCCCGTTCAGGTTAGCGATTGCGAGCGACGGGTAGTTGAGATTACTTGGCGAAGGCAAGGTTGTGGGACAGTTGAAAGTCGTGTCCAATACGTTGCCGATGCTGCTGCAGAGAAAGAGAAGATAATCGGAGTACGAAGCGTTGTAAACGAGCCCTGGATCGGCAGCTTTCGACGGCTGGATGTGTCCTCCCCCGTATTGGAACGGTGTGGCGATATTCCCTACTGCATCTGTCATTATGTTTCCTAAGTTGTTGTTCGGGTTTGCTGCAACATGCAAAAATAAAGTAGAACCTCGATAAATTAATAACCTCGCTTAAATAATACTTATTCCGGTCCCAACTCGGTAAAAACATTAAATTATTAGTTCGATAATTTAATATTTCGCTAAATTAATAGAATTTTGTTAGTCTGACTGTATTAATTTAAAGAGGTTTAACTGAAGTAGTTAATTTAATATATTATACCGGTGGTCATGAGGGCAGATCTGATGGCGGCGCTGCTCCAATCGGGATGTATGGCCTTGATAAGTGCGGCCACGCCTGCAACGTGCGGGCAAGACATTGATGTACCCGAGGCGAGTTGATACTTAGTGACTCGATTGTCCGATGGGATGACTAGTGGAGGAGCAGCCTCGCTCCATGCTGCGAGTATATTCAGTCCTGGTGCTGTAATATCCGGCTTCAAAATATTCGGTTCGATAGCGTTGGGCCCTCTGGATGAGAAAGGAGCCATGAACGGAGTTGGGCTGTTGGTGGTCCCACCTATCAATGTTGTGGCCGGAGTCAAGGTTACCGTCGGTGTAGGGTCTGTTTGGGTGTAGTTGTAAATTTTCATTCTTTCATCCGAAAGGACAACTGTCCCCGGAATCAAGTAAGGCCTGCCGATGACACCTACTCCTGGATAGAGGTTTCCAAGCACCGCGGCTACGCCGCCAGCTCTTTGCACTTCCAATGCTTGAAAAGTGTCCCCAGTCCAGCAGAACACCGCTTTCCCTACCACCAGCTCCGGTGAGAGCGTGCCGTTACGGCATAGTCTGCGAAATATATAACTTGATCATCAAATGAAAAATATATATTATTCAATGTAACATATAACTTTTTTTTTTTTTTTTTTGTGTGTGTGTGTGAAGATAAAAACAGCTAATTTCAAACCCGGTTGTGAGATTTGTGGTGGTGCCTGGGATTTCTACATTTGCTGCATAAACAAGTGGGTACGTCCCCGTTTCAAATGGCGTAATCGATTGTCCCTGCAGGCCGTGGTACGCGTAGTGCATTAAATAATAGTGATGAAAAATCTATCTAATTAATTTTGTGATTTTTTTACGGAGGCGTATACGAACCTCGGCCACAATGCCGTTTCCAAGAAGGACGGGTGACGAGAAAACCCGATCGATGCTACTCGCCCCGACAGTGATGAACCACGGGGCGATATTCGAGACGGTGGACGGGGTGGGGCCCAAGTTACCTGCGCTGCAAGCCACCACAATATTCCTTTTAACTGCATGCAACGATCCAATGGCTATTGCATCTCTGGTGTAGGGCCTGCTGCCGTTTCTCGCCCCGATGGAGACGCTAAGAATGTCAACCCCGTCAGCAATGGCGGCATCGAAAGCCGCCAGCATGTCGTCATCCATGCACGTGGACCTTCCTCCCTGATTCTCTGGAATATTCCAGCATACTTTGTATATGGCCAGTCGCACCAGTGGTGCCCCTCCGGTGGCGTTCCCTACGCCGAGGCCGCCGAGTGAGGCGGCGTTCGGAACATTCCGGCCGCCCACGGTGGAAGATGTGTGGGTCCCGTGGCCGCTGATATCCCTGGGCGATCGGAAGTCGATTGTCTGATCGAGCGGCCCGTATACAGCCTCGTAACCACTCAAATAGTAGCGTGCCCCTACCAGTTTTCTGTTTGATTTGATTAAATTAATTACCAAATGATCAAATTTGAATTCTTTCTTTAATGTAAAACAAAAAAAAAAAAAAAAAGAACTATTAATTAGTAGTACCTATTACAACGAGAAGAATTAAAAGCATCACCAGTCTAGCAAATCCCATTCCAGGTTGATGGAATAGGTCCCATCCCGACATCGTTGAAACTCTCCGACTCCGGCCATACGCCTGATAATGGAAAATTATTCAAGATTCATAACTTAGGGAACTTGAAATTAAAGAAAAATATTGAGAAAATGGGATTTAATTAATTTATATAATTAATTACCGCTGTCGAGTACCCCGACAACGACATTTTGGCCATAACACTTGATTTAATAGCTGTTCTCTGGTGTTGGATTGTGTTACGTCCCAATTAGCTTCGAGTAAGCTAATGAAATCCCACGATCTTGTCGTGTGAGGCCTCGATTCTCTGGGGTCGCTGTGAAAAACCGAAATCACACCATCCATCCCTGCATAGTCCAATATTCACAATCAATATTGTAAAATAAATTTAATTTGTACAACAACTAATCATGAATATATCTTTCTATATATAATATATGTTTCATGCATATGTTTCATGCATATTGCACTACTTGATATTTGATGAGCTTCATCGGGGGTGAGCACGGCGGAGAAGCCATTGATGACGTTTTTGTAGCTGTAAACGACGCACGCTTTGGCTTCCTCTCTCGATCCCTTAACGGAGTGCAAATACGAGTGATGAACGTCTTCAATTTCTTGGAATGTTTTGTCTCCAGCATGCTCTCCCAGGTAAACTATGTACACCTATATATACATATATACATACAGTACACAGACACATATATCGATTGATCGTAATAAATACGGACAAGATCGTACGCGTAAAATTATTGAAGATGAGATGAGATGTAAAACCTTTGGTAGTTCAGATGAGGCTGACGAGACATTAATCTTGACAAGTAGAGCAAGGCAGAAAACAATGGCAATAAAGTGACTTTTCATTCTTATTTAATTTAAGCTGTTTCTTCTGCTAATTATATTTTCATTGGCTAATTGATTGCTTGCTATTTATATACAGTAGACATAAAATACATGTACTGATGAATAATGTAAGTCTAAGTCTGCGAGGAATTAATATAAAATTAAAATGCATTAAGACAATTTCCTCGACACGACGGGGAATAAGTCTAACTTATTACCAGTCGCTAATGACTGCTTTTCTTAAACATCCAATCTAGAGGAATTGACCTCCCATTGATGTTTAATTTCAATTTTATATATATATATATATATATATATATATATATATATATATATATATATATATAATCAGATTATAATTTATCTTGTGCAATTTAAATATTTGATGGTGGGATTGTTGTCTGTTGATTATAGTATGATAATGAAGTCAAGTGAACTTTGGTTCATAAATTTAAATTTGGTTATTTGCTGGTTCAATCTATTGTCCACTATATATTATATTAGTACTACAATAATAATATATATTTGTGTGTACATGTATTATGTATATTGTATTTTTTTGACAGATTAATATGGTTGAGTTTACGACCATACTAATAAGTTGCTATGAGTCCGTTATATTATAATTTATACGTGAATCCATATATTTTAATAAATTAATTATATTTACTCCGAAAAAAAATATCTTTTATCAAATCAAATTAAATGCCCAATATGGTGTGCATAATTGTGGCACTTAATTATAAGTTCAATTTTATAGATTAATTTGGTAATAAATAATTACGTATGTACAAGAGTACCGTGTTTGGTAAACAATATATATATATATATATATATGATTTAATTTGCAAGAATTGGGGGAGTTTGCTCTTTACATTCTCGAAACTGTATCCGTTAAACAAACTTAACCAAACACGCCCCTAGCAACAAAAACAAAGATGAGAAAAAAACATACAAGCTTTTCACACATAATAAACATGGCAAACAGAAGAAATGGGAATGAGTAGAGAGAGAAACATTGATCACACCGACAGTAAAATGGGGCTTACAACTTGATGAATCTCATCGGACCAATAAAACCAACCAAACGCATCCACCGGAGCAATTTCCGTAGCCTGAACCGTGATACTGAAGCTCTGCTTTTCCCCCGTCGCGCTGAAAAACAGCGTCGCCGGTGATATTGTCACCGAGAAACCCGGCGGGGTAGCAACCGTCACGGTATACGTGGCGTTCCCCACGCCCACGTTCGTAAGAGTCCTCTGCACCGTCACAACTCCGGTAAGTTTAGTAATCGTAACCGAGGGATAGTTGAAATTGCTCGGCGAGGGCAAAATTAGGGGGCAGGCGAAAGTCGGATCCAACAAATTGCCGGTGGTGCTGCAGAGGAAGAGCAGATAATCTTCGTACGAAGCGTCGTACACTAGCCCTGGATCTGCAGCTTTCGCCGGCTGGATGTGCCCTGCCCCGAATTGCAACGGCGTTGCGTAATTCCCTTCTACATCTGTTATCAGTTTCCCCAAATTGTTGTTTGCGGTTGCTGCGAGAAATTAGGGTTTACAGTCTTAGAATTTAATCAAATTTGTTGTTTCAAAGTAGTTTTTAATTTATTATATATATTATATACCAGTGGTCATGAGAGCAGATCTGATGGCGGCGCTGCTCCAATCGGGGTGTACGGCTTTGAGAAGCGCCGCCACGCCGGCAACATGTGGGCACGACATTGATGTACCGGAAATAATGTTGAACTTAGCAACTCGATTATCGGTTGGGACACCGAAAGGAGAAGAAACTTCACTCCATGCCGCCAATATATTAAATCCCGGTGCTGTAATATCCGGCTTTAGAATATTGGGTTCGATAACATTGGGGCCTCGGGAGGTAAAAGGGGCCATAAATGGAGTTGGGGTGCTGGTGGTGCCGCCTATCAAAGTGATCGCCGGGGTCAAAGTTGCCGTCGGTGCTAGGTCAGTTTGGGTGTACTCGTAAACACTCAATTTTCCATCGGAAAGGATAACTGTCCCCGGGATCAAGAAAGGCCTGCTGGAGACACCTACTCCGTCGTGGTTGTTTCCGAGCACCACCGCTACGCCGCCTGCTCTTTGCACTTCTAATGCTTGTCTAGTGCCCCCACTCCAGCAGAACACCGCCTTTCCTACCGTCAGCGCCGGTGAAAGCGTGCCAGCAAGGCATAGTCTATGAAATTTAAAAATAAAAAAAATATATAACTGTTTTTTTTTTTGTTTGCTCAGAATTAAGATCGATCAGAAGAGGTGAGTTCAAACCCAGATGTGTCATCTGTGGTGGTGCCTGGGATTTCTACGTCTGATGCATAAACAAGCGGGTACGTTCCCTTCACGAATGGAGTAATTGATTGTCCCTGTTTGTATGCAACATTTTTTAATCATTATATTAATCAAAGAATGATTTCATTTCTGTATATATGTATATGTATATATATAAATAGACGAACCTCTACCACCATGCCGTTTCCAAGAACAACGGGCGACGAAAAAACCCGATCGATGCTACTCGCTCCAACAGTGATGATCCATGGGGAGATATTCGTGACGGTAAACGAGTCGGGTCCTGAATTGCCAGCGCTGCAAACCACCACAATATTCCTACTCACAGCATGCAACGCTCCAACGGCAATGCCGGACTCTGCGTAGGGTTTCCCGGTTTTCCCGCCTATGGATACACTGATGACGTCAACTCCGTCGTTGATTGCGTCATCGAATGCCGCCAGCATGTCATCGTCCAGGCACGTGCTCCCTCCTCCCTGCGCCGCCGGGATATTCCAGCACACTTTGTACATGGCCAGCCGCGCCAGTGGGGCACCTCCGGTCGCGTTGCCTACGCCGAAACCGCCGATGGCCGCGGTGTTAAGTGTATATTTTTACACTTTATCGTAACTTTTTATTTGAGCTTTTGGTGTGTTTTAACGATAATTGGTGCTTAAAAAGTTGATTTATTGTATTTTAGGTACAAATTGAAGAATTGGAAAAGTATGGGGTCAAAACTGCAATTTTGGCGAAAATATGGGTCAAAAGTGAAAATATCAAAATTCTGAAGAAACAAGGCTCGGACCCCGTCCCAGTTTTAGGGCAAATTATGGGACCCCCGTCCCATACCCCGAAGTTGCGCAGTAAAGGGATTTTAATTGCACAAGGAAACTGCCTTCTTCCCCAAGTTCTTCACCCTATATAAGACCAAGCCAAGCACACAATTGGGGATCTATCTTTTTACGCAAAAATCAAGAGCAAAGAAGATCAACGAAGATTCAAGCATAGTTTTTCTTATTTAATTTATTTATTTTATTTTATTTATCATAAGAATTACGAGTAGCTAAGTCTTTATTTCTAGGATTTTATTTGGAACCCTATGTGGGATTTATGAACCCAATTCTATGATTTTATGCAAGTTTTAATTCCGGATTATTTCTTCTACTTGTTTTATTAAGTTCATGAAACTGGCCACTTTATGCGCTTTTATGTTATTGTTAATCGCATGAATCGGAAGATCGGGTTAATAATTAGAACTGTGGTAGAAGAGCCTTTGTGGTATTAACATAGGAATATAGTTAATCTCTTAGGTAGCCATTATTGAGATTTGTGTTTAATGCTGTGTTCTAGAATTAATTGCATAGGAATATAGTAATTGAATCTAGAGTATTAGAATCGTAATACACGCGGAAGCGGGTTATGATTATTTTAGCATCTCAGGTTAATAATCCGGGTTAATTGCTTGCATAATTGAAGGAATTGGGGGAATAATAATCACATAGGGGGAAGAATAAAATCCTAGGCTTGTTTACTCTGATTAAACCTTCGTTTTTTATTGCTTTCGTGTTCTTGTCTTTTTAATTTGCTTTTTAATATAGTTTAATTTAGTTAATCTTTTCCAAATTCGACTGTGTAGGGTGGGCTTGAAAACAATTGGTAGAATTTAGCGTCTAGGATTAGATAATTAAATATTCTCTGTGGGATCGATACTTGGACTTAAAAAATCCACTTTATTACTTGTACGATACGTGCACTTGCGTGTAGGTTTTCGACCAACACGCGGCTCCCGGAACATTTCTGCCGCCGGCGGTGGACGCTGTGTGGGTCCCGTGGCCGTCGATTTCCCTTGCCGATCGGACGTCGATTGTCGGATCGAGCGGACCGAAATTGGCCTCGAAACCCTTCAAATAGTAGCGGGCACCTATTAGTTTCCTGTTCATAAATTAATTGATTTAGTAATTACCAAATGATCAAATTTGAATTGTTTATTTTCTTGTTAAAAAGGAAATAATTAGTACCTATTACAGTGAGAAGAATTAAAATCAACACCAGGCTCGCAAAATCCTTTCCAGGTTGCCGGAATAGGTCCCATCCCCAGATCGTTGAAACTCTCCGACTCCGGCCATATGCCTGATAATGGAAAATTAATCATAATTCATAACTTAATTAGGGAACTGAAATTAAAGAAAAAATATTGAGAAAATGGATTAATTAATTTATATAATTAATAATTACCAGAGTCGAGTACCCCGATAACGACATTTTGGCCATAACCAGCTTGATTCAATAGCTGTTCTCTGCTGTTGGCTCGTGTTACATCCCAATTAGCTTCGAGTAAGCTAATGAAATCCCACGATCTTGTCGTGTGAGGCCTTGATTCTGTGGGGTCGCTGTGGAAAACCGAGATCACACCATCCATCCCTGCAACCCAACAATTATTTAAACAAATTTCTAGTTAATCAATACTATAAATCTAAAAAAAAAAAAAATTATCAATATATCCATATATGCTCATGCATGCACCTGATATTTTATGAGCTTCATCGGGGGTGAGCACGGCAGAGAAGCCATTGATGACTTTTTTGTAGCTGTAAACTATGCAGGCTTTGGCCGCCTCTTTCGATCCCTTAACGGAGTGCAATTATGAGTGGTGGGCGTCTTCGATTTCTTGGAACGTTTTGTCTCCGACATGCTCTCCCAGGTACACTATGTACACCTATATATATACATATATACATACATATCATATACTGACAAAATTATTACATACATATATAAAGTGCAAAATCGAAGACGAGATACAAAACCTTTCGTAGAGGATCAAATGAGGCATTGATCTTGAGAAGTAGAGCAAGGCAGAAAACAATGGTTAGTAAGTGAATAATTTTCATTTCTTATTATATATAAAGAAAATGCATTTTCCTTATTATATATATATTTTTTATAGTACCAGTACTTTTTGTTTAGAGTCTACCCGTTCATTACATTTTTTTTAATGAATTAAGACATTGTTTGATTTTCGAGATAAAATTATTTAAAATAAAATTAAATAATCTAATGAAAATTCAATTATTTTTTCTGATCTAGTAAAGTCAAATGAAAATGCTCCCGAGAAAGGTGAGATAAATCATGTAAATAATATTTACGGAACGACCCGATAAGTTATTGGAAATATTAAATATCAAACAAAATTCAATTATTTAATTATAAATTATAAATAATGACTAACGTTTTCAACCAAACGAGGTGTAAGCTATTTAAATATTGGGGTTATATGACAAACACCCCTAGTTGATATTTTACTTAACGATAGATTCATTTTTATTAAGTGATATTTGTGATAGACCCAACTCACTCAAATTATCCAAAATACCCCTATTTAATATTATTGAAAGTTACTATATTATATTATTATGGAAAATCAATTATTCTTTTTAAATATGTAAATCCCCTTAATATCTCCCCATATCACACGCCATTTCAATTTTTATTTTTCCTCTTCTTTTGTATTTACTTTTATTTTTTAATTTCCGTTTTTTATTTTAAATTATTTTTTCTTATTTATATTTTTCATGTTCTTCATTTTTTTTAAATGGTTTTTTTTAATATATTTTCCCACCTTTTTTAATAAAAAAATGTTTTGTTTATTTATTTTTTTTGATTAATTTTTTTTAATATTAAAAAAACTGATATGCTAAATCCTACACAAATTTTACCAAATTATACACACAATTGAAAAAAATTGTCTCTCTAAAATCTCATCTCCTCCTTCTCCACCCTTATTTTTTTCTCTAACTTTTTCACAAAATCAGACACTAAAAACGTCCATATCATTCCAAGTTCGAATTTGAGAAAAATCTTCATGTGTTCAAACTAAAATAAAGTTGGAATTTGAGAAAAAAGTTCGAATTGATATGAATTTAAATAATTAAAAAAGGCATAATGAAATTGAAAAATATTAAATAAACCTAAACTCACTTTTTATGATTATTCACGTGAAAGATTAATGGACTTTGAGTGACTTGGAAAAAATCATCATAGAAAAAAGTTAGAGAGAATATTAGTAGAGAAAGATTTTTTTTTTAATTTATGTGTGGGATTTAGTAAATTTTAGTGGGGAATTTAGCATACCCCTTAAAAAAATCCAGCAGGTTTATCAAAGTGGAATCCACTATAAACTTATCGAAATCCACTATAAATTTGTTGAAAACCACTATAAATTTATCGAAATCCACTATAAATTTTTTGAAAACCACTATAAATTTATCGAAGCCAAAGCCTGACATTATGAAAATCACTCAGTATAAACAAGCTATATTAACATGAAAACCACTATATATACACAACTGTATAAACATGAAAACCACTCGATATAAACAACTATATAAACATGAAAACCCCTCTGTATAAACAACTATATAAACATGAAACCACTATATATACACAACTATATAAACATCGAAAACCACTATGAATTTATCAGAAAGCACTATGAAATTAACGCGAAATTCAAACAAAATCCACTATAAAATATCGAAAACCACTATGAGATCCACAAGATTGATGATGACTAAAACCAACCAAAACACGTCCTTCTTCTCCCGTGCAAGTAACTCTTCATTTGACATATCAGAATATTCAAATTCATTACTCTTCATAGGGTCACTAGATTTTGCTTTCATCTTCATACACTCACCAAGTTCTAGCATCCTCAAAAATGAAAGCCAAATTACAAAAAAAAAAAAAAAAAAAAAAGAAAAAAAAAACAGATTATCAAATTATTGGGGCGTCGAAAATTTATTGGACTAACAAAACAACAAACAAAACAAGGTCTTGTAGTCAATCAATTTATCCAAAATATTTCACCGCAAGAATTGATATAATTAATTCAATGAATTGATTTTAGTCAACATATGTTACTATTGTTCAGTAAGAATAGTAACATTTGGGACATGAAAACTGAAAACTGGACAATGACCAATTTAAATCAAGAAAATTAAACAAAAAAAGAAAGGAAATAAAAGATAATTGCGAATAAACACCATAGAAGACGAATAAGCGATTAAAAATTAAAATCGAAGACAAACCAAATGGCGTGAAATTGAATCGTTGATTATTCAATTTCTTCGAAGACCCGCCACTGGTGGCAGAAGCGTGGCAGCACCGCCCTACGGTTTCATGGCTTTCTATTGAGCAACAACTGTCAAAATCAAGGTTTTATCGAAAAGCTTTGCAGTGTCAAAAAACTATGAGAAATTCCTAGAAGCCATTCTTTTAATTTATTCTTCTTCATCCGCGTCACAGAGGGACGAAGGGGGGCTGGGATAGAGGAGCGTTTACAGATCTGGTTGGAGAGCTTGTTATAATTTAGGTTAAATTCCACTTTACCCCCTTGTACTTTGGCTGGATATCACTTTACCCCCTTGTACTCTCAATTGCATCGATTTGCCCCTTTGCACTTTGGTTCGATATCACTTTACCCCCTTCTACTCTCAATCCATCGATTTGCCGCCTTGTACTTTGGCTCGATATCACTTTACCCCCTTCTACTCTCAATTGCATCGATTTGCCCCCATGTACTTGAAAAATTGTCTCAATGTGGCCATCGCCGTTAGTTTTCAGACATTTGACCTTAACACAGTCTGATTTAAGTATGAAAATTACTAAAATGTCACCCCTCCAGTTTAAATAAATATTAAAAAAGTTAAAAGAAAAATAAAAAATACAAAAAAAAAATAATAAAAAATTCAAGACAGCGAGAAAACATAGTCCACGACGCCAGCCACAATTTTTTTTTTAATAATTATTTAAACTGGAATGAGTGACTTTTTTGTAATTTTCAAACTTAGATCAAACGGTGTTATGGTCAAAGGTCTGAAAACTAACGGCGAGTGCCACATTGAGACAAATTTTCAAGTACAAAGGGGCAAATTAATGCAATTGAGAGTAGAATGGGGTAAAGTGATATCGAGCCAAAGTACAAGGGGTCAAATCGATGAATTGAGAGTAGAAGGGGGTAAAGTGATATCGAACCAAAGTACAAGGGGCAAATCGATGCAATTGAGAGTTGAAGGGGTAAAGTGATATCTAGCCAAAGTAAATGGGGTAAAGTGGAATTTACCCTATAATTTAATATTAAATTATATCAAAAATGGAAAATAAATTAAATTTATACAATAAGAATTGATATAAGGGTATAATAGTGAAACTTAATTATTTTTTATTAATTAACAATATTTTGGATTTACCTTAAAAATTTGAATTTTTTTGGACTCATTGTAATTACACATGTCTAGTGAGGGAGTTTTGTCAAATTATTCGTTAAATATCTGATTGTGTAATCGTCGATTATGCGCAATGTAGTCAAGTGACCTTTGGTTCATAAATTTGGTTATTTGCTGGTTTAATCGTATCTCAAAGATCTATTATACTTATATATAAAAACAAGCTATATATTTGATTTACTATCGTCCCAAATTGTTTTATTCCTGTCTTATGTTTAATAATAAAATATTTTTTTTTTAAATCGTGGTTACAATAGTAAACTCTTATTCTTTAGGATAAGTAAATTATTTGCCCGAGATTAGGTGTAATTACATCTAAACCCCATTTAATTTATAGAATTTATAAATATCCCCCTTGAGGTTTGATATTAGTTAAAACTTAGCCCACAATTGAAGTAGATAAACTGTAAATAAATATTAAAATATTATTTTAATTATCAAATGAGTATTTGATAATCCAATTTTGATATTTAATATTGGAGTTGATTCAATATGCTTGACTTTACTACCATATCAATTTTATATACGAGCAATTTGCTGTAGTCAAAATCTTCGTGTTTTAAAACAATAATTATATTTACTGGCAATTTTTTTTAATCAAATCAAATAATGAAAGTTTTGTCTTATGGCACATAATTATAAGTTTTATAGATTAGTTTTGGTAATTAGTAATTATGTATGTACAAACTACAAAGAGTAACGTGTTGGTAATCAATATATATATGTTTTTTCGAAACTGAATCTGTTATTTAACTTTATAAAAACTCTTTAACAACAAAAACAAATATCAGAAAAAAACACACAGAATTAATGAAGCTAAAAATAACTTTCATGGCAAACAGAAGAAATGGGAAATGAGTAGAGCGAGACAAATTGATCACACCGACAGTAAAATGGGGCTTATAACTTGATGAATCCCATCGGACCAATAAAACCAACCAAATGCATCCACCGGAGCAATAACCATTGCCTGAACCGTGATACTGAAGCTCTGCTTTTCCCCGGTCGCGCTGAAAAACAGCGTCGCCGGTGAGATTGTCACCGAGAAACCCGGCGGGGTAGCAACCGTCACGGTATACGTGGCGTTCCCCACGCCCACGTTCGTAAGGGTCCTCTGCACCGTCACAACCCCGGTTAGTTTAGTAATGGTAACCGACGGATAGTTGAAATTGCTCGGCGAGGGCAAAATTAGGGGGCAGACGAAAGTCGGATCCAACAAATTGCCGGTGGTGCTGCAGAGGAAGAGCAGATAATCTTCGTACGAAGCGTCGTACACTAGCCCTGGATCTGCAGCTTTCGCCGGCTGGATGTGCCCTGCCCCGTATTGCAACGGCGTTGCAAAATTCCCTACTACATCTGTTATTAGTTTCCCCAAATTGTTGTTTGCTGTTGCTGCGAGAAATTAGGGCGTACAGATCTTAGAATTTAATCAAACTTGTTGTTTCAAAGTAGTTTTAATTTATTATATATTATATACCAGTGGTCATGAGAGCAGATCTGATGGCGGCGCTGCTCCAATCGGGATGTACGGCTTTGATAAGCGCCGCCACGCCGGCAACATGTGGGCACGCCATTGATGTACCGGAATCGATTTGGAACTTAACGACTCGGTTATCGGATGGGACGCGGAGAGGAGAAGCAGCTTCGCTCCATGCTGCGAGTATATTCAGTCCTGGTGCTGTAATATCCGGCTTCAAAATATTTGGTTCGATCACGTTGGGGCCTCTTGAGGTGAAAGCTGCCATGAACGGAGTTGGGCTGCTGGTGTTGCCGCCTATCAAAGTGATTGCCGGAGTCAAAGTTGCCGTCGGTGCTAGGTCATTTTGGGTGTACCGGTAAACACTCCATTTTCCACCGGAAAGGATAACTGTCCCCGGTATCAAATAAGGCCTGCCGACGACACCTACCCCGTTATAGCGGTTTCCGAGCACCACCGCTACGCCGCCTGCTCTTTGCACTTCTAATGCTTGCGTAGTGTCCCCACTCCAGCAGAACACCGCCTTTCCTACCGTCAGCGCCGGTGAAAGCGTGCCAGCAAAGCATCGTCTATCAAATTAAAAAAAAAAAAACATCTAATTAATTTATAATTTTTTTTTTTTGCTAAGAATTAAGATGGATCAGAAGAGGTGAGTTCAAACCCAGATGTGTCAGATGTGGTGGTGCCTGGAATTTCTACGTCTGACGCATAAACAAGTGGGTACGTCCCCTTCACGAATGGAGTAACTGATTGTCCCTGTTTGTATGCAACATTTTTTAATCATTTTATTCATCAAATAATGATTTCATTTGTGTATATATAAATATACGAACCTCTACCACCATGCCGTTTCCAAGAACAACTGGCGACGAAAAAACCCGATCGATGCTACTCGCTCCAACAGTGATGATCCACGGGGAGATATTCGTGACGGTAAACGGATCGGGCCCCGAATTGCCAGCACTGCAAACCACCACAATATTCCTTTTAACTGCATGCAATGCTCCAACAGCAATGCCGGACTCTGCGTAGGGCTTCCCGGTTCTCCCGCCGATGGATATACTGAGGACGTCAACTCCGTCGGTGATTGCGTCCTCGAAGGCCGCCAGCATGTCATCGTCCAGGCACGAGCTCCCTCCTCCCTTCACCGCCGGGATATTCCAGCACACTTTGTACATGGCCAGCCGCACCAGTGGGGCACCTCCGGTCGCGTTGCCTACGCCGAAACCGCCGATGGCCGCGGCTCCCGGAACATTTCGGCCGCCGGCGGTGGACGCTGTGTGGGTCCCGTGGCCGAGGGCATCCCTAGCTGATCGGAAGTTGATTGTCGGATCGAGCGGACCGAAATTGGCCTCGAAACCCTTCAAATAGTAGCGGGCCCCCACCAGTTTCCTGTTTAATTAATTAATTACCAAATGATCAAATTTGAATTGTTTCTTTCTTGTTAAAAAGGAAATAATTAGTACCTATTACAGTGAGAAGAATTAAAATCAACACCAGGCTCGCAAAATCCTTTCCAGGTTGCCGGAATAGGTCCCATCCCCAGATCGTTGAAACTCTCCGACTCCGGCCATATGCCTGATAATGGAAAATTAATCATAATTCATAACTTAATTAGGGATCTGAAATTAAAGAAAAAATATTGAGAAAATGGGATTTAATTAATTTATATAATTAATTACCGCTGTCGAGTACCCCGACAACGACATTTTGGCCATAACCAGCTTGATTCAATAGCTGTTCTCTGCTGTTGGCTCGTGTTACGTCCCAATTAGCTTCGAGTAAGCTAATGAAATCCCACGATCTTGTTGTGTGAAGTCTCGATTCTGTGGGGTCGCTGTGGAAAACCGAGATCACACCATCCATCCCTGCAGTCCAATAATTATTTAAACAAATTTCTAGTTAATCAATACTGTAAATTAAAATAGATTAAATTTGTATAACAAATTATGAATACATCCATATATATATGCTCATGCATGCACCTGATATTTTATGAGCTTCATCTGGTGTGAGCACGGCAGAGAAACCATTGATGACTTTTTTGTAGCTGTAAACTATGCAGGCTTTGGCCGCCTCTTTCGATCCCTTAACGGAGTGCAAATATGAGTGGTGGGCGTCTTCGATTTCTTGGAATGTTTTGTCTCCGACATGCTCTCCCAGGTACACTATGTACACCTATATATATACATATATACATACATATCATATACTGACAAAATTATTATATACATATATAAAGTGCAAAATCGAAGACGATTCAAGATGTAAAACCTTTCGTAGAGGATCAAATGAGGCTGACGAGACATTGATCTTGAGAAGTAGAGCAAGGCAGAAAACAATGGTTAGTAAGTGAATAATTTTCATTTCTTATTGAATTTAAGATGTTTCTGCTAATTATATTTCATCGTCTCATTGCTCGCAGTTTATATATACGTTTAAGTAAGGAATTAGGAAACGATCTGTCACAAATACGTGCTGTTTGCATCTACTTAATAACGATAGTCTGAGTAGTCTCCGAATATAAAAGCCATGAAGACCATTTCTTCCACATTAGGGAATATATTTCAGTACCTTAAACCAAAAATTAATTAAAAAAAAAAAACAAAAAGATGGCAATTTTATTTTATGCAAAGTTTCATACAAACCTTAAAAACTCAAGAAGACTAGAAATAATATTGTTGGTCATTACAAATAAGCTCATCAGAGCATCTCCAATGGAGAGGGGGGGTTTTCCCCTCCCCTCCCCCTCCCCTCCCCATCCCCCTCCCCCTCCCTCTACCTCATTTGTTTTCGACCAATCATAGTTCTTCACTTGGCTCTTCCACCAGGGAGGACTTAGGATAGGAATAATAATAAAATAATAATAACAACCCCAACAACAACAATAATAAAATAATAATAATAATAATAATAATAATAATAATAATAATAATAATAATAATAATAACTAATAATTAATAATAATTATTAGTACTAATAATAATTAATAATTAATAATAATAATAATAATAATAATAATAATAATAATAATAATAATAATAATAATTTAATTATAATAATACAATATTCAAATATAAGTAAAGAAATAATTTTCAACTAATTCAATAATTGAAAAAAAACAAGAATAATAACCCCGAAAACAACATTTGAAAAACAACAAGGATAAAACCGAATAATACAACAAGAATGATATAATTGAAATTATGTGATATTAAATTATTGAAAGTATTGAAAGTGTTTATTTACAAAGTGTTGATTTTATTGAAATTATGTGATATTAAATTATGTAACTAAATAAATGAAATAAAATAAAATAATGATATAATACTAAAATAAATACAAAAGAAAAAGAAATAAAATAAACAAATTTGACATGTCAAAAAAAGAAAAGAAAAAAAGAAGAAAAAAAAAAAAAAAGAAACAATCGGTTAACAAAGAAAAAAAAAAAAAAAAAAAAAAAAAGTAAATTGGAGAGTAGGCACACGCCCCCTTCCAGCAAGTGAGCTGGAAGGGGGCAGCTCAAGCTAAACACCCCCTCCCCTCCTCCCCACCCATACCCAAGCCATACCCACCCCCTCATTACCCACCTCCATTGGAGGTGGTTTTGCCACCCCACCCCTACCCACCCCCTGACCATTGGAGATGGTCTCAATGGTTACTTATTCATAAAGAGATTCAAACAAAAAATTCATTTACCAATAAGTCCACATATAGTGCATATTTTTTTAAAAGACTAAAATAGCCCCTCATACTTTAATATCCTGCAATTTCATCATTAATTTAATTTAACCTCAATTTGATCCCAAATTTCACAAATTATTCAATTTTGACCCAAAATTTTATTTTTTCAATCTTTTTTTCCTGCCGGATTCCGGCGTTGACTTTTCAAATTAATTTTTTTTTCTTCCGGATTTTTTCGCCGGTTTCCGGCATTGACTTTTTCGTGTTTTTTTTCTTGCAACATTTTTTTTCGGTTAAACAACAATATTGCTGTGATTGACAGTAATATTAACTATATTACTGTTAAACACAGTAAAATTAACTAAACTACGTACAGTTTAACACAGTAAAATAATCTAAACTACAGTTTAACACTGTAATATTGCTATATTAATCTCTAGCACAATAATATTAACACAACAAAACTCATTATTATTGTGTAATAGAATAATATTACTATGTTGACCGTTCAACAAATGTAAACATAATAAAAAAAACCAAAAAAAATAATATTACTGTGAGTGACAGTAATATTACTATAACAACAGTAATATTACCGTCAACCACAGTAATATTACAATAATAGGCAGTAATAATATTACGTTACTTTGTGAATAACTTAAACAAACAAAAAAATTCCAAACAAAATAATAATATGACAACCTTGACAACAATATTACTATAACAACAGTAACCGTCAACCACAATAATATTATTGTGTTTACAGTAATATTAGAATAATAGACAGTAATATTATTACGTTACTCCGTGAATAACTCAAACAAAACAAAAAACTCAAAAAAATAATAATATTGATGTTGTTGACAGTAATATTATTGTGTTTACAGTTATTTTACTGTCAACGACAGTAATATAATTACGTTGACTTGTCAACAAATCAAACAAAATAAAAAAAAATAACAAAAAATAAAAATAATAATATTACGTTAATTCACTGTCAACGGCAGAACAATTACATAAATGTATTGTCAACGGCAGTACAATTACGTTAAGTAACTGTCATTGACAGTATAATTACGTTAATTTACTGTCAGTGCCAACACAATTACGGTCAACGTTTAGTGGCAAACGTAAAAAAAACAAATAAAACAAAAAAAATTAAAAATATACTAATAAAAGTCAAGGCCGGAGACCGTCGGTCAACGCCGGAAACCGGCGAAAAAATCCGGAAGAAAAGAAAAAAAAAATCAACGCCGGAAACTGGTGAAAAAATCCGGGAAAAAAAAATATCGACGTCGGAATCCGGCGGCCAAAAAAAAAATTTGAGAAAAAAAGTCTAAAGTAGATTTTTGTGGTCAAAATTGGATTTTTGTGGACACAATTGATTAAATTGGAGTTACAATCAAAAATTGAGTATAAATGATTGGGGGTAATATTGAGATATACATGAATATTTCCTTTTTTTATAATAAATATTAAAGGAATAGGCTTATTGGTGAAAAAGATATAACCCCTAAACCTAGAATAATAAAGATTTTTTGATTGGAAACTTATGCACAAAAACCTGAGTTCGTTATTTTATTCCAAATGGTTATTTCCCTGTTGATGATAAATTAAGCATACATTATCATGGTAACCACAACCTGAGTTCATTATTTTATTCCAAATGGTTATTTCCCTGTTGATGATAAATTAAGCATATTCCCAGTTAATCGAGCACATCAATTGTTATTTTATTTTTAATTTTTTTAATATTATTTTTATACGACTATTGAATAATAAGAAATAATATCCTGTTATTGCATTTTAGTTAAACTATATATTGAGATCAATGTGTACTCGGAGTAATTCTTGATGATGCTGCCAAGACTTTTTGTTTAATATTTGTGGGTCGACCCAGAAAGTTAGTAAATACATCAAATATCAAATAACGTTCAATTATCCAATTATGTAGTTAATAATGACTGTTATTTACAACCAAATGATACATAAGTGATTTTAAATATTTGATTGTGTAATCAAGTGACCTTTGGTTCGTAAATTTGGTTATTTGCTGGTTTAATCGTACTTAAGGATCCGTTATAATAATACATAAAAGCAAGCTATATACAATTTGTTATAAAAGAAAGCTATTATCCCAACTTTTTGTTTTATTCTTGTCTTATGTATAATAATACAATATTTTTTTATTAAATCATGTGCAAGCAATAGTATACTTTTATTTTTTAGGATAAATACATAAATTATTTGTACCCAAGATTAGGTGTAATTACAACTAGACCCCATATAGTGTATAAAATTTAAAAAGTATCCCCTTGAGGTTTGATATTAGCTAAAACTTGCCCATTAACTTTTTTAAATTGCATTTTTATCCTTGACTAAATAGTGCGTAAATTACACTGTTCTCCTTCCAATTAGGTCTAATTACATATAGATCCCTCATATTGCTAAAATACACTACAGAGTATAGATACATCCCGTAATATTAAAATCTTTTATCTAAAAATTAAATTTAAACTCATCACAGAATAACAATCAAAGGTCCTGATGGCGTCGGAGGTCAGTGTTCTTACGGAGACAAGTAGTTTATTGTTTTATTTCATTTTCAGAAAAAACCTTAATTTTATTCTGATTTTTATATTTTTGAAATTCATTTTCTCGTTGTAAATTTATTAATTTTCTAAAGATCATTTTATTCTCGTATTGGCTGAGTGCCGTCACGGCGGCGGCGGCGGCGGATGCAACGTTCAAAACACAAATATAGCAATAACAAGAATAATAACGCAGAAAATATAATATTTGATTCACAAACAACGGATACAAGAACCACCCGGGAAGCTCTAACACTGAAAGTGCTTCGAAGGTTAAGTCCAACACAGGTTCAGACGCTCGGAGAAGACGAAGATAGGCTACACCAAAATCAGCTGCCCTTCTCCTACTGAAACATACTATATATATAACCCTAAAAGTAGAAAGTGCTAGCTAAGAATAGAAAGCGTGCAAAAGGAAAACACGAGTATAGTAAATGAACGGGAGCTGAAAGTTCGTCCTTCGAGTGCCACGTGTTGCTCTTCCATTTGCTGGCGCGGTAGATAAGGAAACCTAAAGTTGCTACGAATATTACTAATAGAAACGCATTTATATATTGCGTTTTTAGTTTAATGCGATATTACTCTACAAGAGTAATTCTGACTCGACAAATAATAATAAATTGCATGGATTAAAATTGCATGGCAGACTTCTTCTTCCCTCTTCTGTCACTTCGATTTTGCACGTAACAATTCCTCCGTCTCAAACTGTCATTGTCCTCAAGGACAAAACGATGGATAACGCCTCTG